AAAAATGATCAATTTAAAATTGGTCAGGTGATTGAAAGTGACTTTTTTACTGGTGAACGAGCAACTTTATCAACCATAGAAAGAGGTCTTTTTGACACAACTAATGAATATATTTCAGCTGTTATTCGAAACCAGATCCTTTATCATTATACCTTTAAATCTATAGAACAACAAAAATACTGAATTCCAAAATATGAAGAATTATATAAATTAGTTCCTAAATATTTTCTAGATAAAAGCAAAACCACGTTTGTATTGATGCATGGAGACTTTCACTTATCAAATATTTTAGTCAATGATGACGAAATCACAGGGGTTATCGATTGGAAATATTTTGGTACATTTCCAATAGAGTGCCTATATACTTTTCCAGTTTGGATAATTAATAATCAAATGATAGAACAAACTAGCGAGAAGTCCAAGGAAAATGTAATACTACAGAAATATTTTTGTGATGAAATGTCTCATTATAATCCTGATTTTATTCGCATATTTGATAATATAAATACAGATAAGGAAAAAAAGAATTTTATTCTGTAGTATTTAGTCAAGAAGTATGGAAAGTAGAAGATTTTTTTAATAAATTTGGAAATAGAATTTCTAAAGAATTATTCTAATTCAAATTATAGTACTAGCATTGAAATAATGTGAATATTGATAGGTAGAGTTCCAATTAAATTCAGTTTTTATTGTTTAAACAATAGAACAGAAATAATCTTGGATACTCTTATTGATCGGTTATAGTTATAATTTTGTTAATTCAGAACTAGGGTAGTTTAAAAAAATTTATCGTAATTAAAATGCGCTTAAGGTAATAATTTAATTATAAATTTAATAGATATAAAATCTAATAAAAATTGCAATTTTGTCAATTAAATTGCATTAAGAAATTTTTAAGGATATTATTGTTTTTAAAAAAATACTACAATCAAATATAAGAATATTTATTCTAAAAATATTTTAATAAAAAAATAACTCAAAACTTTATTTGGCATAAAAAAATTGTAATTGTAATTAAATTATTAAAACTAAAAAACTTTTATATTAGAAAAATAAAGAAAATAAACTTTAGTTTTTTGTGTATCAATATTTTTGATTCTTAAGTATCACTCATAGTCATATTACTTTTTTTTGACATTGTCAGTTATTAAAGAAAACAGTAGAATAACCAAGTTAAAATTCAATAAATTGATTAATATTAATAAAATTTTTAATTTAATATTTTTAAAACAATACAACAACTTAATTTTAGAATATCTGTATTAATCAAGCATTTTGATTAATAAGAGTTTATGAATATGATAGAAAATTGTAATGAGTTACAATTCTTTCTTCTACATTAAGTTCAAATTTGTTGTGCTATTTGTTGTCATAGTTTAATTGTACTGCATTGTATTCAATTGAGTGAATTCTAAATTCAGAGTTTGATATAAACATTATATCTACTTGTGTATTGAAACCATGCTTAAAACAAATAAATAAATATATATATATATTCTAAACATGGTTTTACTATACAACAATCTATTATTTATTTTCTCTATGCCTAACCCAAATCATAACCATCATTGTAAAACATGTAATATATCCAGTTTTTGCCAAAAACATCAGATAAGATGTAAAAAATATAATTTTGTTCGTAGTTTAAGACAAAATTATTGTATTAGATGCCAAAAAATACAAGACTTAAAAAGAAAACAGGAAAAGAAACAGAAGGAAAAGGAAAGGAAACAAAAGTAATCGTAAAACATTAAGCTTTAAAAATCAAACCTAATACCTTGGACAGTATTTTAAAGTTTAAGCTTTTCCTCTAATCTCGGATTATTTTATAATTTTAAACTACGATATAATTAATATACTGGATAGAGATTCTATTATTTACTGTATTTGACCTACTACTTACTCATATGTTTTAATTATTATTTTTTGTGAGCATTTTTCCTATTTCTGTGATGTTGTCAAACACAAATTACTTGACTTGTACAGTATATATCAAATTGACTATAGATAGTATGTTGCTATCATAAGGATGTCACTGAAAAATATGTGCAACCTCGTGTTTGTTCCTTGTATTAATAATTGTTATAGCTGATGCTGGAGCTGGAAATTTTAAATATTTTCATATGAAATTTTCAAAATTTTTTGGGGTGCATTTTTTAGTTTTTTTTTCATGGTTAGGTTAGGATTTAGAGTTAGTTTTGATAATGAAAAAGCATAATTGGATTTTTGCAGAGTTTATATTTTTAAATCGGGGTATCTGATTTTTAGCATGATGGAAATTTGTTTTGATTGGCTAATCAACAAAAACTCTGATTGGCCAAAATTAAAAGAATCAATTTTCGTTAAACGATGATTGATTTTATCTTGCTCACGTGAAGTTCAAAACAGCTATTCAAAAGAAAATATTATTTTTATTAATTATTACTTTTTGAAATTTAAAAAGTACAAATATTGTTAACATACTACATGCTTGTAATGTCAGAATCACTCCTAATGAAAGTTGGTGGAACAATTGATCCCACTTGATCCAAACTTTTATATGAAAGTTAAGCGTTCAAAAAATCTTCAGACAAAATTTCAGGGGCTTTGAATATAAAAATTTCGATATAGTTACTTTAATTTAAAATTTTCTATTGTAAAATAATATAAAAATCTTGTGTAACAATATTTTTTCATATAAAATAAATATCCAATAATGTTAACGCAAATATAAAAAACTAGTCTTATTCATGTATAAATTATAGAAATTGCATAAATTTAAATTCGTAACTCTGGTAAATATAAATTTGGTAGAATCGTTATAACTAGGGGTCTGTAAATGCAACCGGGTAAAATTGCTACCCAAAAAAGTTTCAAGTAAAATTTTGTTTTTTTTAGGTTAGGGTTAGGATTTTACTATTAGATCCAGTTTAAGAACACTTTTTATAGCAAAATTTTACAAGGAAAACTTTTAATTAATGTGCAGAAGGCAGGTTCATAGACTAAATTTTGGGTTATAAGCTATTTTTACAAAATGATCGTTTGTTTTGAATTTTCTTGATTATGTTATGTTATATCTGATCTTGAGATATGCTATGACGAAGAAATATGATCGTATAGACAACATCGTATAAGTTTATTCAATAAATTAAATTGTAAACTATTAATATGGTATTCAAACAAGGTCTAAGATAAACAACCGGCATCTATAGATTTAAAGTAACCTATAGATTTTGTTCATTAATATTTGAAGTGTATATCTCTTGTTGATTGTTAATGATTGATGAAATTGAAAACACATTCTTAATTAAGATAATGAAAAAAATAAGTGTATATAAAAAAAAAAAAAGAAAAAAAAAGATAAGCTAATAATAATGTTACTAACATTTCTATTGCTTTCTACAATGCTTTTAGCATTAATGATATCAGGATTCATTTTCTTACTAGGATTGTCGCTTTGGGTTATAGACAGTTTCTAGAAATTGTTTTATTAGTATATAATAATCATTGATAAAAATAACTTATTTATAACTTTTACCAATATTTCATCGACACTAGTTAAGGAATCCTCTGTCAAATCTGAAGAAATTGAAAACACGTTCACTTCTCTAACATCAACATCCTTTTTAATGATATAATTCAGATAATATAATAATTGTTAAAATTTAAGAAAATTGAATTCAGTACTTCTTATATAAATGCTAATGCCTGATTTCTTACCTGATTAGTATTAGTATGCTCATATTCATTTTCTTCACCAAACTCTAGATCATTTGAAGTTTGTGAAAGGTTCATCATCTTATTAGAATTTTGAAGTCTACCACTTGCTTGCGATTCTTCGGCAGCAATATTTGTGTTCGATGATATTGATTTATATTCTAATCACAATAGAAGATACATTAATTTACTGTTTGAAATGCTAGGTTTTAGAAAAAAATCTAATTACATACTATCAGGATCAGCATCGGACAATTCAGATATTGTGTATTCCATTCGTTCTTTTTCTTTTTTGTTACTTGATGAATTCTTGGAATTTTTAGCAATATAATATTCAACATTGTCAATAAACAATATTTTTGCAGAGGTAAAGTTTATAAAAAAATGTTTTATACGTATTAACATTCTGATTTGAACAATTGGATTATCTATTAATACATCAGATAGATTGTTTTGATTATTATTCGATAATGAAATTGATAGTGTATCCTTGATTTGGTGAAAGAAATAAATATACATTTTAAAAAAGTAAATTAATCCAAGAAATTATCTTCTGCTGTTAATTCATTTACTTTATTACTAGTATTTTTTTGAATATTATTGGTGACTAATGATTGGTCCTAAAATTTTTAAGCTTTAAATATTTATAATATGTTAACTTAATAAAACCAGAATATTTAAATTTCATAGTTACCAATGCTTCATTAATACTTTGCAGAGAACTATCCTCTGTCAAGTTTGAGGTAACTCATTCATCATTAGCCTTTTAGTTAATATAATTGTTTAATTAATCAGTATTATTATTACATTTGGTTGATTAAGGTTTATCTACCTTATTAAATCGTTCATCTTTCTTTGCAGCTTTAAACTTTGCATTTATCTTAAACTGATACCAGTCAGTAAATTTACTTGTTTCTTTTGCCTCATGCATTAAAGTTAAAGCTGCATCAAAATTCAACTCATCATTTTCTTCATCAGTATTAGAATATTCATCTGAAAGAGTGTCAGCATGTTGTATCGATTCCTTTTGAATTTTAATTGTTAAGAATGTTTCCAATTATATTAGAAAAAATAAATCTGACCATAATTTATAAAAACAATTTACCTGAGTATTAGTTTCCAAACCTTGCATCTCATCTCTTTTAGTGATTTCAAATATAATAGAAGACTGGTTCTAAGAATTTTTATGTATTAGTGATATTAAACGAATTTCGAATTTTAATGCATACTTTTTTTTCTCTAAGGCTTGAAGGTATAGATATGAGATCACCAGAATCATTAGAGATTTGATTATTTATTGGTAAAGTACTATCTTTCTCAATATCGAAGCTAGAATTTTGTACACTTTCATGAATGCCTATTTCTGTTGATGAATTACTAGGTTCCTTTATAAGATTTTGCTTTGTTAGTTTCTATATGTAGCATAAACTTAAAAGATAATTGTAATTACCTCATCGTCATCTATTGCAATTTCCTTTTCTTTCTGTTCGATAACTCTTAAAATCTTTATAAAGTTTTCTCTGGCAATGAGGACTACCTTTGGAGCATCTAAATTTAACATTTTGGAAGTCCTATCATTCAAGTTAAATGTAACTGTAAATAATAGATTTTCATTAAAAGTAACTGAAATTATTTTTCCATCGGTTGCTTTTCACAAAATATCAAAGTAGTATTTTATAAGCTTGTCTCTATTATCCACCATCTCAATCATTTTTTTTAAATTGTTTTAAAAAATAGAGAATATAAATCTACTTGAACTGTAATACTTATAAATGTTTTCTTAAATGATGTGATCATTATTATGACTATGACTATGATCAGTATATCGATCGTTATGTTATTCTGATTATTATATAACATTTGAAAAAAAAATTGTCTGATTTTTTCATGTTATATCGATATCGATATTATTAATAATATAACAAATAATATATAATATTTCATATGAGATTGTACTGTAACATGTCATTCGTATAATATTACTTCCAACACTGCATTGGGCCCATCTAGATTTAATCACGTATGTTTAATTTCATGATGGCTTTCATTAATCTGGAGTTTTAAGATTTGGGAAAACCAAGATCCATTATCAAATCAATTGTAGAATTTCTGTTAGGTTAGCATTGTTTTATCATTTTTAACACGTTCTTTTGGCACTATTTCGTTAAATGCATTCTAATTTGTTTTTATTTGTTTAATATTGTTTCACAAGCTCAAAGCTGTGAATTTTTTTTTAGATCAGAATTAATGTTGTCTAAAACGAATTTAAGGTTCAGAGCATAGTTTAAAAGTGCAGAAAATGAAATTTTATAAGCTGGTATTTGATTTTCTAAGCTTAGTTCGTAAGATAACTATTGCTTATCATGCTAACTCTTACTAACTTCTTTTTATCATAAATACGTATATTTATAAATATAGACATGCAAAAGTAAAAATTTATTATAAAAATTTTAGTTGCTTCTAAGTAAACTACTTGAGTTTGCAATCTATCAAAACAAAACTTTAAAGTAATAATCTACTATTTTTACTCTATTAAATAAAAAAAAAAAATTTATATATAGGATCTTAACTTTATAAAGTTTATAGTAAATTACTATATAAAATTTATTATTTTTACCATAACCCTGCATTATAATTAAAAAATTGGCTACATTTCTTTTGACCATTAATGCATCTTCTTTGCAATATAATAAAATATTTAGGACTAATGACAGAGTACAAGTGACTCCGTTAATATCAATTTCGTTAAAATCAACTCTTGTAATATATATGAAATTAATTAATAGTTAAAAACTTTTCCCGTTATTTTGTACTTAAAGTCTGCACTATATTTTAAACTAAAGATTTAATATCCAAAATTAAATCTAATTTATGTTCAATTTTTCAGATTCTGAGCCTATATCAGGACTCAGTTTATACTTTCTCTCTATCTAAATATAAATTTTAGTTTATAACTCCGATAGCATCTAGTTGCCATCGGAGAATCTAAAATCTATTTATTTATTTAGTCATTCTTTGACTATTTAAATTTACAAAAAATGGACTAAAAGTTTAGATGGTATGAAGAGTCAACAGTATTAGATAATACCGATACATAATTAATACAAAGATATTGCAAGAGTGGAGTTAATCTATTGAATTTTTTTACAATATTAAATATATATTTAGTCAAATTACAGCATTTATAAATGATCTAAGTCATTTGAATTTGTGGGTCATTTAAAATTCGTTTAATACATTCTACCAATTTTAAAATCTATAACTAGGCCCAAGGGTCTCTTGTATAGGTGTTGATCTGATAATTGGAAGTTTATTCTATTCCTTTAGTATTTTCTTTAGTAGTTTTCTATTTATATACCAGGATTTTACATTTTTCCAAAATTTTATTCTATATTATAGACTCGGGTCTAATTCATAGGAATCTGATATATGGGATCTTTTATATGACCCTTTATAGTAACTAAAATAAGAAATTATTAGTTTTCTAATTGATAATTGTAGCAGTTTTCTAATTAATAATTTAGCTATATATAAAAGTCAAAAATCTACTAAGCTAGTTGATATATATTCTCAAGTAATGTTGGTTAAATAACAAATTGCATATACTCTAAAATTTTCATATAATTTAAATAACTTTATATTGATTTACTGTTGCATTTCATATTTAAATAAATTTTTTAATTTTTTGTTTAAATGTAAAATGCAAAAGTAACTTTACTTGGTGCATAAATATCATCTAGTTTAGTAAAATTTTGATTCTAATATATTTTTATAATATCATTATTTATATTTTGCAACCAATTTGATTGGTTAAAAGTATTAGATTTTCAAGTAAAAATATGTTAAATAACCTCAGTCATTTAGGCTTTTAAAATGATCAATAACTAGTTATTTGTCATTTGAGTCATCTACCATCCCTGGGTTCAGTAATAATTATAAAAAAAATTTTTAACAAAAACATAACAATAATTTATTTACTTAAGCATCATAACTATAGAGTATTAATACAATTAAGAGCAAAATCAAGAAAATTTAAATTTTCTTGGCAATTTCTACTAAATCTAAATTTTTTTCATCTTTTATATTTGAAAAATTAGGGAAAGCATACCCTAATAATTCTTTGACGAGGAAGTTATATTCAACTTCAGACGCATTGTGAAAAAAATCTGCTTTTAATTTTATTTCAACCATTTCCTTAGGTGTGATATTTGTTACCCAAAGAAAGTGACATAATCTCCAACAACTAGTCTACTTTATTAGCATTGTACATAAATTTATATTCCAGAATTTGTTTATTCACGATTTAATATTCCTTCCCTTCTAAGTATTGGTATTTTTTGCCAATAACATGCTTTTGACTTGTTCTTGATGACAAATCTTTAGCATGATGAAAAATACATTAGTTAATGAATAAATTAGTTTCAATTTTTTGAAATCTTGAATTTCGATTAATCTATTACAATTATTGTAATGTAAATCTCAAATTCTTAGATATTCAGAGTAGCTTCAAACATCTACCATTATTTTTGGGAATGGTTCGGGTTTCATTGATACTTCAAAGACTTCTTTTTTAAAATATTGGTCGATAGGCTGAGAAAACATTTCAGATATTTTGCCTAGATCTTGAGATGCGAAATTTTTTGGCATTCCCTTAACTCTCCTTATTTCCTTTAATAACTCTACATAATCTAATTGTGTAATTAGTAATTGCAAGTTGATAGTTTGAAAAAATTGATATAATAAAATAATAACATACTTAACAATTTTGATTCAAGATACTTGCTTTTCGTTACTTGTTCTATTTGTTGTTCTTAAAAAATTTATTAGTTGATAAGCTTACTGTAAACAAAAATTTTAAATTTTTATTGCTTTTCAAGTTACAAAATGCCATTAGTGATTGGATCTGAGCAGAAAATTTAATAGCTTTAAAACTAATAATGAATCTAATCATATTAATCAGGCCACCCAGATTCATTCTTTAACTAGATTTCAGATTTAAAGAAATTTAGTTCGCTAAAATTTTAAATTACAAATAGTGAAATTTTAAATTCAATCTGAATATTTTTGTATGGTATAATTTGAAAAGCAATAAAAAAAAAACTAGTATATATACCAGAAATAATATAATCTTCATTATCTATAATATTTGATTGAAAAGTTAATATACACTGTTTTATTTTTATAATTAAAAACTATCATTGAAATTTTATCACTTTCCTCTGTTTAACATACAACGCTTTAGAATATAAAGGAAAAATTTAGTAAAATTTAATTAAAAATTATATAAGCATAGAGAGTACTATTGTTCGTAATATTTAATTTAAATAGGAAATCATATACTTACAGAACTACCTTCATTAACTAGCTCCCTATTAGATTTATCTGTTGAGATTGGTTCATGTTTTGTTATAATTAGACTGTTTTGTTCATCTGAAATATTATCTTGAAGAGAAATTGGACTTTGAGAACTGTCCAGTTGTATAAATGATTCCTTTTTTAATTTGATAATTTTAGTTAAACTTTATTACATAATATATTTTTAAATATCGATATTTTGATTATGAATGTCTACTTTAATATCCGATTGGGTTTCTGGCACATTTTCTGCTTTATCTATCCACTTTTAAAATAACAAATGAATAATATAGAATAGTAAAATTAGCTCACAGTAACATTTACCTGACTACTACTAAAATGTTTATCCATTTCTTCATTTTCTATAACAACAATTGGAAAATTGGCACTTCCCACTCTACTTTCAATTAAGTCATCTGTAGAGCTATCATTATGTGGAGTGGATTTTTCTATATTTTTCTTATAATGATAAGTAAAAATTTTATGAATTAAATAATATACATAAATAATTGTTATAATACCCAAAAGATCCAATAAAGTCTTGCTCTTTTTATTATGATTCGTTATCTTTGAAAATTTTATATTTTGGCTGTCCTCATTGTTGGAATCCGAAGTATCTGGTTGCTTTTTATATTTTTTCTTCAATCTTTTATTTTTTTTTACGCTTTGATTGTCAACTTCATATATTTTACATTTTGATTTTTTTGAATTTCTAGTAAAATTGAAGTTCTCTTTCTGTCAAATTTTGACAATAATCTATATTAATATTTTTATTTTTGAAATTTATTTTTTGTCTAGTTGAAATTCTTACGTAATCATTATCTTGAATCGATTCAATATCACCAGCTTGTGTACTATTTTCTGCTAGGTTATTTGTTTAAGTATTCTTGAAATAGTATTAATCGATAGCTGGTTGTCCCTTTCTCCATTATTTGCAGCTTGCTTAAGTTTGTGATTTGTCAATGATAAATTAGATTTTTAGGTTAACTTAATTACAGAAAACATTCAAATTCTCTTGATAAATTTTTTTTACTTGGTTGTCAGTAGCGTATTCATTTTCAAGAGAAATGTGATTATTAGTGCTAACTGTTTGCGAAGTATTGACAGCAACATTAATTGATGAATAAGAATCAGGTAATAATTCAACTTCCTCGATATTGATTGATGGCTGATTATGGAGCATAGATTCAACCGATTCTCCGTTATTTTCAGCTTGCTTAAGTTTGTAATTTATAAATAAAAAATTAGATTTTTAGGTTAACTCAGTTACAGGAACTTTCAAATTCTCTTAATAATAATTTCTTATCTGATTATCAGTAACACATTCATTATCAAGTGAAATTTGATTATTGATGCTAACCACTTGCAAAGTATTGACAGCAACATTGGTTGACAAATGAGAATCACGTAATAGGGCATCGGCTTCCTCATTACTTTCAAAGTCATTATTGATATCAGTAACATTGATTGATGACGAGAATCAGATAATAATTTATCAGTTTCTTCAAAGTTATTATCGACATTATCTCTTTGCTAAGGTTACGATTTTTTAATAATTAATTATGTTAACCACCAATTTAATACAAAAAAAATTAGATATTAAGCCATCCATTTCTTAACATCAATTAACAACTTCTGAAATCTCTTACTTTATTTTTCATCTCTTTTGAAATTTTAAAATAATCATTTACAGTCTGTTGATCTTCTTCCCCTTCTTTCAAATTAAATATATCGTTTTTACTTGCATGAGCATCAGATATTAGCTTATCGACTTGCGATAACCTGTCACTATCTAGATCCTAAGTTTTATTTTAAAGGAATTTTAAGGTTACTATACAATTGGTTAATAAATGTGATAGATTAAAACGAAATCGATTAAGATGAAATTTTATATAGAGTGAAATAAGAAAAGTCATCGAAAAGCTTTTTGGGGAGTTAGAGTTAAATAGAAACCTTAAATTTCATTTTTATCCAATTTCGTTATGAACAATAAAAATATTTGACATCAAATACATCTTCAGTAGAAATATATTCTTTTCTCAGAAATTAGAACCACCCCAGGTGTGTTCAAGTTTTCAGTATTCTTAGTGCCATTACTTAAGAAAATTGCTGCTGAACGTGATTGGTTATTAAAAACAATTTCTTTAATTCCTTCACCAGTAGGCTCCCATATAAGATTAATCAACTTCTAATAATTTCCTTTTTATCTTTTATAGTTATGACCATTATTCACAGTAAAGAGAAAAAAATGAAAAATCAATGTGTTAATATATTTATCGTTCAATAATGAAATTATTTATATTTACTCATATATATCTTACGAGTTCACGTTAATATAAAAAATAATCTATTACATAATCATGATGATTTTTAACATATGTTGATTAAAAAATTTTCTTATAAAAAGGTGATTTAATACAGACCTGATACTAGCACTAGTGTTCCACAGAAAAAGATCTGGTATTTTTGATGGGTATAAATTTAAGGGATACTAGATCTAAAACTGTACATATAATTAATATAAAAAATACACAATCAGCAAATATGCACTATTTGCCTCTCATATGCTTCTTTCGCCAGTGGCAGGTTCTCCAAAACTGCCCATTCAGATCCGGATCCAGTTTATGTAGCGAGTTGAAAGACATCTACTGGCTACAGGTACATATGAGAGAGCGTGTTTTCTATGTATATTTTTAGTTTGAGTATCTTTTGTAAAATGCTACTTTAATACTCATTAAAAATTACGAATCCGTTTGGATCTTTTTTGCGGAATACTACCTGATACACTCTCGTAAACAAACTATAAATTACATTGCTATACTGTATTATTAACTTTATACTAATGCAAGGGCAAATTATGAAAGTATTCTTTTTTTTTTTTGAGCTAATTAATAATATTTAGGTTGGATATTTTATCTTTTCAAAAAAATTTTTAAAGCTTGAAAAATAACATAAAATTGCGAGCGTTAATGCTGTTTTAGGTTACGGCCCGGATTAAGACTGATTCGGGCCGAACCCAAAAAATGTCCACTTATACAATTAATATTTTGCAATTACTCTATTGTGAACAAGTCATATAAAACTCTTCTCTTGATATAGTGAATTTACAAAAAATTTACTAATTGACTCCTGAAAATTTTATCATATATATCAATATCATTAATGTATCGATGTATGGTCATAATTATTCAATATTTACTGAATGCTAGTGGGTATTCAAATTGAACCAAAATTAATAAACTGAAAATCTAAAGAAGCCAAGATGCTATTTTCGCTAAGAAGAGGGTTGGGGTAATGTAAAACAGAATCAGGCTATGACGTGAGCCAATAGTCACATATGTTAAGCTCGATAATTAAACTTTTAAGTCATGGTATATTGAAATATATGTTCAAAATATTGTAAAGGCAGAACATACCCAATAAGATTGTATATTATTATTGTAAAAGTTAATAAAAAGTATAGAAATTTTAAGACATATTTAGGTGTATCAAATAAGTAGATACAGCAGTATCAAAAATAAAGCTTTGCATCCTGACTTGTGATCTTTACAGGTTAGCCCAACCCAGGTAACTCTAAAAACACCTATAAATAAAATGTAAAGAGGTATTACCATAAATAACAATACAAGATATTCAGTTATTTGTATTCCACATAACAATAAGATTTATACCCAGGTATATTGTATGGCTAGGTAGATCTTCAAAGTTACATGAATATACATTTTAAAAATTATTGTTATGCTCATTGATATAAAAATCATCTGAGTGCGTTAGGTGCACACTCAAATGAAGAGACAGGTAAAGCATAAGAATAACATTTTTTATTATTTAAAATACAATGTTAGCATTCTTAATACCAATAGTGTCATATAATTTCACGGACTCACGAGTCCATGAGATCATATGATCATAGCTTGGAATATTCTTATTCAAATTACGCGAATACGCTGATACCGAACTCATTGCCAATCTTACACGTGATTAAATCTCAATTTAAATTCTAGCACTAGTTTTCATTTTTTTATCGTTATCGTCATCGCTATGTTTTTTCCATCCTTTTAATTTAAAAATAGTATTAGTATAATTTTGTCAGCTACAGCATGTTATCACAAATATGATCTGGTTTAATATAACCAGATAATTCATTTTCATGTATCAACGTCATTACATTCTTGAAGAATATGCATATGTAAATTTATAATAAGATCATTATATTTATATAAGCAATGTAGGGAATATTATAACAAGAATTTTAGGCTTCTAACATATTTCTCTTTTCAAAAATTAATATCCTTGGCTATTGTGATATTAAAAAATAATGATCAAAATTGTAGAAAGTAAAGATATTATAAAAAATTCGATCAACCTAATTTGGAAAACAACTGAAAGAAGTGTTGTCACTGTTACCTTCAATAGGCAGTTACACTTAGCAACTATCTCCTTAGATAATAGAATTAACACTACTCTAAATTTGGAAACACCAAGAGTAGTCCTTATTAAAGAAGACATTTCTAGCAAAATAATAAATAAACATGCTGGTTCTATTATGATTGAAGATGTACAGGTAAGTATATATATTGATATGAGTGATACTAACCAAAAACAAAAAGTCTAAATAGATTTTAGTAGTTTTAGAGAATTTATGATTAGATCAACTGAAATTAATTGTTATACTAACTTAAATCTTATCCTTAGAAATGCTCTAATTACAATTATATTGGTATTTATATAAATTTATTAATTATAATTTTTAACTACAAACTATTGACATTAACAATTAGTGATGACGGTAGTGATGATGATTCGCCAGGATGGTCAGAATATGAAGAGTGCTATGGACCTAAAAAAGAATTTTGTGACCTTTGTAGTTGTTCTGTATGCAAATTGAAAGGAGATCGAGGCCATATTCTCCTGTGCGATGGTATAAGCTATTAACGTTAAATAAGTTTAAAAATTTTTTAATTTTTATAATTTTTAATTACAACCATTTATTTTCTTAGCTCTAACCTTTGATCAAAGATTCATCAGAGAGTATATGGATGTTCTTATAGACAGTAATTTGTAATATAATGCTAAATATACCACCTAATGCTACCGCTATCTCTAAATAGACAATAGAAGCCTATCACTATAGAGACCTTTTTTAAATACAGTAGACCTAAAAAAATAAAGATAACGACATGTTAAGAAAATTGAAGAATGTCATCAAAAAAATCAATATGAATAAATTCACAAATAGGAGAGAGAATTCGATTAGGCAAAAACCTTCATTAACTAGCCCATCATCATTAGATTCTTACAACTCACACTCTTCGTCTAATTTAAGCACTTCTTCTAAGACAATGCCAGGATCGAATTCGAATGAAATGAATCACGTTTTATATTTCACGAAACCTTACACTGAGCGGAAGCTAATAAATTTCTAAAAAGAAAAAAAATACAAACAAGTCCAACAAGATGCTTCTTGGAAAGATGAATATGAAACTTACGAAAGACATATAAATCTAATTTTTGATGAGCAACTACAAAAAAAGATTTATAAAGCTTACTTGGTAATTTTAAATAACTGATATTCAAATAACAGAGATCCAATACCAATAATGATTCATAATGATACTCCTAACATTCTTAAAGAAATTTTTAAAAAATATTTGACAAGTGGATTGATTTTTGAATTTTTTGCTAGTATCAAGTTTGTTACCAGAAGCTATTGAAATTGAAGAGAAAGAAAATATCTAGGAAAAACTTTTTAACAATGAAGAAAATTATAATTATTCAAGGGTATTATACATCTTTTGAGAATTGGCACTTATATCATTTAAGGCAAAAAAAAGAATAAAGAAGCTATAGAAATCTAATCAATACTATGTGCCTAGCCATATTACAGAAGTAAACCAGAAGCAAATAACTGGAATCGTGAATTTGCCAAAGGTGAAAGGGTTGCAAGTCATGTAAATTAAATATTAGTAGAATCTACAATTTATCATAAAGATAAGCCAGCAATAATCAATAATGAAATTGTTGCTGTCAAAACGTTCAGTGATACTTCAATACTGACCAATTATATTTTTTTGTACAGTATTTTGTTACAAAAATGGATAATTGATAAACATCATAATACTGACCAATCATATTTTTTTTCAAAAATAGATAATTAATAAACATTGTGATACTAACCAATCATATTTTTTTTCAAAAATGGATAATTGATAAACAAAATCATATTATTAACGTTAACCAATTATAATACAGATAATCATATTAATAATATAGTTATCAGTATGATTTTATTTAAAAATCTAATTTCTTTGTCAATTAATTTATAGTTTCAATTCAATTTATCAATGATCAATGATGCTTTCAAAAAATTTAATGAGCAATAATATCTCAAAATTCTAGATATTTATTTAAGTCATTTGCATATAGATTATATTTTCGAATAAGAATTTTAAAGTCTTTCATAGCTACAGTGCAAGGACCTTAACAATTAGGCTCCACAGATTTGGGAGTAGTACAAAGACTTTGTTCTTGCAACAATTAAACAAGAATTTTATTGCTAAATTGAAGTATGTAAATTTGATGTGCAAATTAAAATATAAAAGTAAATATAAATTTACTTTAAATATGCTTAATAATTCTTTTATTGTATATCTTTTAGAAGATTCTAAACTAATTGAACTACAAATTTCCAATAATACAAATTATAATTTTAAAGTTAATACAAATTATAATTTTAAAGTTAATATAAATTATAATTTTAAAGTTAATTAACAAGACAAAATTAGCTGCATAGTTGATTTCTCTAAAATACAATAATTTGATTTTTGCAAAGTATATTTGTTAAGATTTTTTTGATTCAAGATTATTATAAAAAAATTAATACTTTTTATTCTTTTGTTTTTTTTTTAATATTAAAAAATTAGTATTTTTACAAAAAAATGCTATAACACCATATTATATAATACTCTTATTTTATATATAAAATTATTATTATATACTGTATATTAGAGTTAGATATTTTATATAATAATATTTTTGTAAAAAATTTTTTTAGAATATCAAAAACTGTTTATAAACAAAATTTTGAGCTATAACTTTTTATGATGAAATTTTTTGCATGATTAAAATTTATGCAAAGTTATGTTGATAACTAAATCCAACAGATATAATATTAATTTTTTTTTTTGTTAAAATAATCAAAATTTGAACTCACTGTCAGTTTTTTTTTTGGAAGTTTAATTAAAGATCTTTGCATTTAAAATGAATAAATAAAAAATGTTCATATCTGTACCAAATTTTTGTGCTTGTACCTATGTCCGTACCAAATTCTTATGCCTGTACCTATGCATAAGCCAAATTTTATGCCTACACCATATGGCGGATTTTCAGAATTCGAATATGTCACCTGAATTTGAATGTGATGTGCATGATATCTAAAAATAGAATAACCAATAAAAAATTTTTGATAATTATTATAAAAAATTTGTATTATATGCATTACATCAATAGAACTTTTTCAATGACTAGTAAATGTCAACTTTGCCAAGAAATCTTTTTTAATCAAAAAGAGCTTGTAATTCATAAAAGAATTAAGCATTGAAATAACAAAATTTTACCCCACCGTTATTTACTTATTCAACCTTCTCTTGAGCAAATCATGTTTATCAGGATGCATTTATAGTTCTTATAAAAAATGTCTTGGTTTTAATAGACATTCAATCGGCACAAAACAAGTTTCTATTAATGCTTTTCCAGAAAATATATTTGTTTATCTTTTTGAAAATGAGCCTTCTTTCCAATATAGTCCTGTGCAATGAAAATATTCTTGTTCATTTCAGGGTGAGGCTGGAGAACAAAGGTTAAAACAATTAGTTAATTATGACTATTGGAATATTCGACAGCATCCAAAATTAAAAACTATAGGTTATATTTTATTTATGGATAATGAGAGTTCTTATAAAGTTACCTTTAGTTGGTCACAAACAGAGCTAAAAGAGAATGATCATATCTTTCAATGTGGAACTGCTTCTTGTAAATTTGTAGCAGATTCTGGAGAATTTTCTGAACTGTAAGAATTAAAAGATTACGTAGTCATTTTGTTAGAAGAAATTCTATAATATATAATATTATTTATTTTATGTTTCATAACAATAAGGCCTGCTGTAACCCAAACGAATCAAGTTACTCCACAACAAGCACTAAATCCGCTGCAAGTTCATGATGTTGATTCAAGCAAAAACATTTTAAATAATATATCTTCTCAAAGAAGTTATAGGTTTATATTACCTCGCGTACCTTTCGAACAACTTAATAAATAAGCCATTAAGGTAAATATATTTAAACGAATATGATATTTATTTGATTTTTGATTCTAATAAAAATATTAAATCATATAACTAGCAGTTGGTATAGTCGATGAAAGAGAATTAACTATATAGATTTTTTTTTGTACTAAATACCAAATAAAAAGGGATTACCTGAACGTTGTAACTAAAAATTTGTCGATATGGTGATTTTTAAAATGAGCACATTTATTATAATGAATCTGCCAAAAAAAAAATCTAAAGCCACATTTAGTGTTATTTAAATAGAATTCACATAGAAAAGGATGAATCGCTATCGAAATTGAAAGATTATTATAAGGTGTTCATTCATTATCAAAAATTTGCCAATACGGGAGACGTTGATGGAACATATAATGTATTTTACAGAAATTGGAAAAGATGAATATAAAGAATTCATATATTTTTTAAAGATAGGTAATTCTAATAGATAATTTTATCTAAATGATTTTGTTCACACTACAAATAGTTACTTATTAAATAAATATCTTTTTATCTATAGGTTATCAGATAACACTTAACTAGATCAAATCTTTTACACATACTTAATTATTAACAAAAACTATTCAGCACCTAATTTTATATATAATTATCTTCTAGATAATTTATTTTAGTTTTATATATTCTTGAACTTGAACATTTGACATTGTAAAAAAAGCCATGGACATAGTAACGTGACAATGCTGCATATAAGTACCTGACTCAAAAATAGATTTTAGAACTAAATTATAAATTATTTCAATGTTATTTTGGAATTTTTATATTTATAAATTTTATTTTTAATAAAATTTCGATTACATAAATAATTACACATTTTAAATCAATACCTAAGATGAAAATCTTTAGGTCAGTAAAAAAAAATTTTTTTTATAACTCGCTGGATCGAGTCTGATATCGATTTATGTTGACTTAAAAGTTCTAAAGTATTGAGAATTGATTTTGTTTCAGAACGATTAGAAAGATCTTATCCAATATTGTTTGTAAAGTTCAATATGAAGTTATAGATGTCTCATTTGTCTATTTTGATAATCCAAAACCCAAAACCCCAAACTCTAATTTTCTTTAATGAATTAAGATGTTCTTCGAATGTCAAATTATGAGTTAATGAATTTATAAATATAAAATCCAGTAAAATAATATACATAATACTTACAAGGTCTTAACGAATAATAGTCTTATTATATAGAATAAAAGCCCAAGCACTATTTTCTTAGAAATATGTAGCTTATCTGCTGATATAGAATACCTTTCACGTCATTAGGCTAACAACATGCTTTTTTGGAATTAAAAGAATATCCATCATCACCATGATAACCACATCTCCACGATTATATAGATTGTTCATTGTAATCTTGTAAAATTTGCCTTTAGATATTTTAGCAAAGTTCCATCATTAGCTATATTGTAAAATTGTATAGTATCTGTTGCTATCTACCTTATTTATCCGACATGTATACCCCCTTGAGCTGTACCCTGCAGCGATTTTGGATACCAAATCTTGATTTATACAAGTATGGAGGTATCATACTTATATACCCGGGCATACAATAGTAAAATGCATTAAAAACATAGAAGTATTCATATGGTATATCCCCCCTACATGAGTACTGGTCGACTTACGATGATCCGAATTTCGATAATCCGAATTTCCGCAGTAAAACTTCAAATAACCATGTATTAGAATTTATATATTACGGACATCCGAATTTTTGATCATCCGAAGTTTTATACGAATTTGGGGGACGTCTAAAGCGGAGGCAAATCATGTGATCAGCCACCAATCAAATTATAGAATTTTGATGATCGCCGGCGAAGCAAAACAAAAAATAAAAACCAAAAACCC